TCATTCTATCAAACTACGAATTATTTACTCCACACTATCTCGACTTTTATTTGCGATTAATGAAATGAAATAGTTTTGGACTGAATTTATGCCAAGAAAACCAAACAAAATAAACCGAAGCGAAAAGTTCATTCTGTTAAGAAAATATTGATAACAGCACGTTTCGCATAAATATTGTGTAAATCAAGTTTTGTTTGAGTTTCCAATAAGCCAAACAAAAATTGTTACGCACGAAGTATGAGTGAGAATGAATCCAATAGACAAAGATAGCATTACCCGATGGGATGGATATAACTCCCAGTTTTGTCGCACAGTGAATTTGTCTTACTTTACTTACGTTACGTTACGTTACGGTTTACATTTTCAGATAAGTAGGTGGGTTGATTGCTATAAACAAATAGCAAGCTTTGCACACTTAACTAAAGTCTATTCACGAGTATCTATTAACGTTTGTGGGTAATACAATGCCATCACCATCACCATCACCAACGCCAACAAAAACAACAACAGAACAACTATAAGTTTTCCTCAAATTGAGCTCACACCTCAGTGTTTCTTCAATGCACAAGTATCTGCTGAATGCTAAATTGAATGGATTTTCTCCGGCACAAAACAATGAGTAATGACGATGACGAAAGCAAAGACTGCAGTGTCATTTTATTCAGCCAAAAGTTTAATCACAGATAGATTAATTCAATTACTAAGAAAACTAACTTTAAATATTTCTTACTTACTTATTCTTTTATTTAACTACACTTTTGACATTGAACGCAAATTTAAGTCAAGTCCTAGATTGGTTAATGGTTCTAATTTAAAGATAAAGACAAAGGAACAAAGAGTAAAAGAGACAATTCGACAGTAAAATATATTATTTGTTTAGCTAGTAATGAGCAATTTAGTATGCTGACTTAATTAAGTTTGTTAAGAGTTTGAAATAGTAAAATGAAATAAACTTTATTTCGGTAATAGAGAACATTTGAATTAACAACTTCTATTAAGGTATCTGATTTTGTGTTATCGCTCCTCATCAGATGTCAATGCTATATTGAAAGAGTTGTTTCAATCAGTAGGAGAAAGTAAATGTAGAGGTAGACCGTTTTTTCGTTGAAATGATTAATTTAAAGCGCGGTGCAGGCTATCACTTTTGAGTGTCATTCAAGAGAGAAAATTCATGTATGATACTTGAAAATAATAGTCTACACCTTGAAATGGCACATCATTCAGCTTTTCGTTAACATGTTGTGAGTGATAGTCTATCACCCAAAAATTTCCATTCGTCATTCAAGAGTATATTTTTACATAGTTGCACTAACACACAGCGTGCGAAACACATCTTCGGCGTGCGTAAAACCCCTTATTCTTCAAAAATGTTGCTTGAATGACAACTCTTGCATGTGAGCATGTTCAAGTTCGGTCACTTGAATAAATTTGAGCAAGAGAGAGCGCAACTTGAATAACACTCAAAAATGATAGTCTACACCGCGCTTAAGGCAACACAGTCAGCAACGGCGTTTGTGTAAGAGTAATGCGAGATCCGATAACGCGTTATTATCCTCAATGAAGTCAGCAAGTAAACAGTTAAAAACGTGTTACTGTTTGATAAATTGAACATCGGA